CATAACTGCACAGTGCAGTTGCTAGAGACTACATGGCAGACTTCTGAGCAAGCCTGCGAAGTTGCTGAGATCCTTGCAGAGGAGAACAGCCCTCATTTGGAGGAATACTGTAAATTTTATTCAGGATCTTCATGGCAGTTGGATTTTTAAAAGGATTTTATTCCCTGTGACTCTCAAACTCCAAACAGGCTGTGATCAAACCTCCTACCATCTTTAAAGAGTCCCAGGAGATGCGGATGTTTAGCATTTTCCCCCTGCTGTTTTCTCCATTTAACACCTCTCCTCCTACCCCCACGAAGCTGTTTTCATTTTGCAGCGGAGGGGGGGGAAAAGGTATCCATATAAAAAGGTATCCGTATCATGCTTCTGTCTGTCTGTCTTGCAAAAAAGAAAAAAGAAAAAAAACCAGCAGATTTTTAGATTGGAAAAACAGCAGTGGGGGAGGGCTGGGTTTTTTTAATAACAACCCCCCCTTCTTTCCCAGCACAGTTGTCCCAGTTGAAATCAAACTGTTCTGCACTTGCTTTAGATGTTTTCAAAATCAACAATAAATCTGGTTTCCCGCATCACATCTGTTTTGGCCCGCCTGGTGTTTTTGGGGAGAAATGAGGATGTTCAAAGCAGCATCAGAGCCAGATACCTTAATGATGGATTCTATTAAAATACATGAGCTTTTGAAGACTCTCTTGTGTGATAGTGCAAAAAAGTACAGAAAACAGCAGTCAGGGTATTCTTCCTAGGTGGGACAATAATCAAAATCTCAAGTGGAAGCCTCTACCAAATATTTAGAGTGAAATGCTCCAGTTTTGCAGCACGAGGCAGATAGCCACTGCTATTTTACTCTCCTGGCATCCCAAATATCCTCAGAATCATTGATCAACACCACCAGGCTATTTTGACAATTTTCCCTGCTCTAATTTTTTTTTTTTTTAAATGTCATTGATCTTTGGGAATCAAACTCTCCACCATTATCTCTCTTCTGGGGTATTAATACCTAGAGACAGAGAATAAGCATCCTATTATTATACAGGTGATCCTCAACTTATGACCACAGTTGAGCTCAACATTTCCATTGCTAAGCAACTTAAGTGAATTTTGCCCCATTTTACGACATTTTTTGCCACAGTTATTAAGTGACTCAGTGCAGTTGTTAAGTTAGTAAGACAGATGTAAAGTGGATCTGGCTTCCCCGTTGATTTTGCTTGTCAGAAGGTTGCAAAAGGTGATGACGTGACCCCAGGACACTGCAACCGTCATAACTATGAACCAGTTGCCAAGCTTCTGAATTCTGGTCACATGACCACGGGGATGCTACAACTGTGATATGTGCGAAAAACCCATTGTAACTTCAAATGGTCACTAAACAAATGGTTGTGAGTTGAGGACCACCTGTATAGCAGGCTGCCCCACCTTTAAGATCAGTACAATTGGGCTCAGTAGCAGCTGATATGCCCAGAGGTGTAGAGAACTGTGATCTTAACACGGATGGAAGTTGCCAAAATGGGGGGGGGGAAATAACATAGAACATTCTTGAGAACTTAAGGTTTGCAAGTTGCTCAAGTAGTATCTTCACTGGATACTGACCACCTTGTTTCAGTGCTTCTGATGAATTGTGAGCCGCTGTGGCCACGGTCCTTCTGTCTCTGTCTCTGCTCTCTTCAAGTCCAGTAGATCTAATGGAGCACTTGTCATCTCAGAGTGCGTTGCGAGGTTTCTGGCTACTCTGTCCAGGGTAGAAATGGTGGTGTAAGGTTGGACTAGAAGTTCTCCAAGGTTCCTTCCAACTCTTGTTATTCTGTTAAACTCTGATATGAAGGAGTCTGGTGCACCAATGCTCTCTGCTTGGTGGGGGGGGGGAATGATTGTTACAAGCAATCTCAAATCCAAGGAATTCATAATCTTGGGCTAGGACCTTTCTGAGTTGTCCTGGATTTCTTCCTGAACAGAAAGGAATGCTGGTGGGCTCTTGTGATTAGCCAGCAACATGAAGCCCCAGGATTGGCAAAGCTATTTTTGTTTAATCCAGAGAGTAGTACCTTCTACTGGGTTGTTGTTCTTTGACCATCTGCAACTGATCCAGACATACTAAACAAGATAATATAGATCTAGCCGTGTTTCTGACCTTATCACTGAGGCAAGAGTCTTGGCTTAAATAGAAGTAGACGCTGATTTGTGCCACCTTTGCTCTGCAGAAGAACAAAACAAAGGTCTCATTGGGTGGTGGGATCCTCTCATATGCAGTGAGATTGGTAAACTGACTAGACCAAGCCATGCTAATCTCTGGTTGATTATTTCCCCCCCCCTTCTTCTCCACAGAGAATTCAGGTCTAACAGCAGGAGCAGCAAAACAGAAGGTGAGTTGTGAAATGTGGATTTTGTGTTCCCTTCTATTCCCAAGAGATAGCAATGGAACAAACAAGTATAGAGGGGTCTTTGGTACAAGCAGCTTGACATACTTAGGTTTCCCCAGCATTTTGCGTGCAGCACAGCCTGTGTTTACAGAATTTGCTTCCTTGCACCTGGAAAAAATTAGTAGTAGTACTATGTGGTTGACGCTTAGTGATATATGAATATGTAGTCATAGGGAGATCTTGGATCTTATTTGTGACACCAATTCTTGAGTAAAGACACGGTTTGCCCTTCTGATCTTGCACCAATGCTCTGCAGGGATTGTTTTTGGATCTCCCAGTACTTGGATTCAATATGATCTTCCCTGATCTAAAAAGGGGAGTAGGAATCTCTGACAAGCTACAGTACAAGTGGAGAACCCTCCAAGCTTTCTAGGTCTCTGCACCCAGCTTTCCAACTTGCTCAGGGAACCCCTATAACAGTGATGGCGAACCTTTTAGAGACCAAGTGCCCAAAAACTGGCCCCGCCCCCACTCCACCCCCTGCCCCNCCAGGCAGCCCAGCAGCGCCATGGCGGCCACGCCCTCTGCCTGCACCCCACAGCATCAACTGTGTGCAATGGGGCGTGAGGGCAGAGTCTTGTCTATGCTGCCTGGTTGCCATGTCCTTGGCTGCGCTTTTTCGCATGGGCCACGCTCGGGGGCGACTCTCCTCCAGGGGGGCTGCTGGTGAGGAGGGGGTCATGGGGGAGGCAAGGTTGGGGCAACTGCATGTGTGCCCACAGAGAGGGCTCTGAGTGCTGGCTCTGGCACGCGTGCCATAGGTTCGCCACCACTGCCCTATAATAAGGGAACCATTCCCTTCTGTTGGGATCCCATCCCAGCGAGATGCTTCTGTATCCCCATCCCTCTCTTCTTCGCCCATAGGGGGGCAGAGCAGTGGTCTTCATGAGCTGAGGTTCAGATTTGTTGATAAGAGTGCCCAGTTACTAGCCTGAAGGAGAACACCTATCAACCGACCTACTCCATGCCTGCTTCATGGAGACAATACATGATGCCAGCATGTTCCTAATGGGTCATGGTGCCTGGAATGACCATTCCAGCTATCATTGCTCTGCTCATTCATCCTGGGTATGATGCAGCAAGAAGCACATCTTTACTAGAAAGGAGGCCACGTCAAGGAAGAGCTCCTGCACATATTTCTGTAGGGTTTGCACAAGAAAACTTACTGGTAAATTATGCCCTTCATGGCCATTAGCTTTTCTTGCCTCCCACTTTGTCACCATTCAAGGCATCCATAATATGTGTCACCTTGCTTTGTGACAAGGCCACTTCTTCTTGGTAATGCTAAAGGGCACAGGGGAACTTAAATATAAGCTGTGAAGCACTTGAGGCGTATTTTAACTAATGCAAGGCCGTGATTAGATCATTGTCTCACTCCCTTCTTTTCTTCCTGACCTCTTAATACCTCTCTAGGTATCATACTCCAACTTCCATCATTCCTGGGTCAGAGGTAAGGGGTGACAAGTGTTGTAGATGAGAGCGTTGGAAATCATCACGTTGGGAAACATATAAATTTACCTGCATAATCCACATTGTGCAAAATCACACCATGGAAGAATGGAGGATGGAATTTATTACAAAATCCAGCTTCTACGAAGCTGAGGAACTGCTTATATCTAGCACACAAATATTCTGTCCCTATGAAAAACTTGTAGGTTGGTCTTACTCCCTGGTCTAAAAAGTTAGAAGACCCTCTACCATTATCTGCACAGAGGTTTCACTGATAAGAGTAGAGGGTCCCCTAATTTTTTGGGCAAGGGAACAAGATCAACCTACACGTTTTTCATAGGGGCAGAACAGTTGCGTGCTAGATACTTTGATTGGGGCAATGTTCACCCCCTTTCTAATCATGAAGACAATAGTGTAGACTTGGTGGAAGCATGTGTGTTTGGATGGTCTCATCCATGATGTCTACACAGCTCCCTCAGTGATAAAAGAACAGATCATGAAAGTCTGTCCCACTTGGCCACCAACAAATTCTACATGAAAGTAGACTGAAGGCAAGTTGTGGGAAAGCTGCCAAAAATGATAACCCAGTTTGGAAGGTCTACATATTAAGTAGTGTAGGAAAACTCAAAAGAGGTTACCATTTTTGGCAATACTATATATTGAATTCTTTTATAATGTATAAGAATACTTGCCCCGGCTTGTAATATTATTCTGTGATGCTTTTTCTGCTCCGAGTAGCATCACAAAGATGTGTAGAGAAGAGCTAGAGAAATGTCCCACAGGTGACCTTGCAGCATGGGTTAACCATTTCTTCATTTCACAAAGAATAGAGGGGAATAGAGAGTGGATATTTCACTCCGAGCTGCTGCCAAGGAACTTAACGTCTTCTCTCTTCCTGTTCCAGGCCCAGGCAGCACATTTCCAGATGTCCATCCAAGCAATTGTTCCACCAAGAGGCATGCAAGTGAAGATGAGTTGAGGAAGCGGCTGAAATCCCAGGGGTCACCAGTACTGTCAACTGGAGGTGCTCTGCGCAGCACTTCCTCTTCTGACTACAGCCAAGAGCCAAAGTTCTACCAGTCAGGACATCCTGGGCAAAAGACATCGGTGTGCCTGGCAGAGAAAGCTTTGCCGTATAGCATGCTCAGCTTCTCAGAAGGTTCTTGCACTGTATTAGGTCAAGAGCACAAATCCAGTTCCTTACATCATACAGAGACAGCTGAGCAGTACAAAAGCCTCCATACCCAGAGCAGCAGCAAGTCCGAAGACCTGCTGGCATCCAGTGTTCCTGCCTGCCCTGCTGACATCCAAGACTTGGAGGAAGCCACCACACAAGATAGAGCTGCCAAAACTTTCTCCAATGCCACATTGGCCTCAGGGCGGTGTAATATTGATAGCATCATCTCCTTGTTGAAAAGCAAGTGTGGCAACGGCAGAATCAACCTCTACCCTGTGGTGCAGCTCATAGACATTATGAAGGACATTGACCGACTCTCCCAGGACCTAAAGAGCTGTGGTGTTCATTTAGATTGCAGTGGCTTGCAATTTGATAGCCATCTGCAGCTTAGTGAGGAAGGCCGGGGACAAGGTCTTCATTATAGCTTCTACTCCTCCCCCATGCTGGCCAACAGCATCCGCAGTCCCGAGGAGCTGGCAGTGCAAAGTAGCACCAAAGCTGATCTTCTCAAACAGACCCAACCTAGCCATTATGCGGGAGAAACAGAAGGGGACACTCAAGGTGCCCAGGACCAAATCAGCCAGAGTAGTCCTGTTCTGAAGGCTCCTTGTAGCCTAGATGAAGCTAGCAGCTCAGAGTCTGAGACGACCGATTATCCTGAACTAGCCAATACAGATATCCTGAGTGAACTGGCTTCTCTGGCCTGTCCAGGACCTCAGTTATTAGATCAGCATCCAGATTCCCACCATCAGCTGCTACAAAGCCAAGGGGCAGAGTCAAGGTCTCAGTTAATTGGTTCACAGTCTCTAGAAGACCAGCCCCAGCTAGTAGACTCAAAGTCTCTGGAGCCGCCTCCAGAACCATTAGCCCTGCAGACAGTGGATCCCTTGCCTGCACCACTGGGGCTGCAGCCTCTAGAACCTCTGGAGCTTCAGACTTTAGAACCTCTTTCTGAGTCGCTATCACTCCAGTCCCTAGAACCCCTTTCTGAGCCTCTAGGGCTCCAGTCTTTAGGGACCCTGGACCACCAGTTGCTTGATTCCCAACCCCAGCTCCTGGATCCAGACGCCCAGCTGCTTCCCCCTTTGCCCAAGTTGCTAGACTCTCAGCCCCATCTGGGAACACAGGAATCTTCAGGAGGACACTCACTACAACCTGGAGCCCGCCTTGGAGGCTGTTCCTTAAGAGGAGTAGTAAGGCGAGGGGCTGGGCGGGGAAGGGATGATCACAGGAAATACGCTCTACGGAGAACAGATAAACCAAAGATACTCTGTCGTCGTCGGAGGGGAGGCCGAGGGCAGCGAACAGAGATTGTCACTGAGAGCCAAGTCCTCCCCATGGCTGTACCAGTGGAGATGATCATGGCTCAACCAGAAGAAGCCAGGATGCCATTGACCACCATTGCAACAGGTGAAGTAGCAGGTCCCATTGTTTCCACTTTGGAGCCAGAAGATGGCCAGAAGGCTGCTGCCCTCCTGAATCCCCCAAAGCCCAAATGCCGTGGCATACGTCGGATGGTGGTAAAGATGGCCAAGATTCCTGTCTCTCTGGGGAGGAGGAATAAGACTACGTACAAAGTGTCCTCCCTCAACAGTAACTTGAATGTAGAAGGCAAAGGGGTTATAATCTCCCCTTCTCTAGAGCCCACGCCACTGCTGAAGATGAAAAACAATGGCCGGAACGTGGTGGTGGTCTTTCCTCCAGGAGAAATGCCAATCATCCTGAAGCGCAAGAGGGGAAGGCCCCCCAAAAACTTAATGCTTGGGCCCTGCAAACCTAAGGAGCCTGTTCCAGAAGTGAAAAAACGGAGGAGGAGGAAACAGAAGTTGGCATCCCCACAGCCCTCTTATGTTGCGGACACGAATGACAGTAAAGCAGACTATTCAGATGTCCTGGCCAAGCTAGCTTTTCTCAACCGCCAGAGCCAGTGCTCAGCTCGTTGCTCCCCACCTCGCTGCTGGACCCCGACTGAGCCCGACTCAATCCACCAGGCTCCTGACACTCAAAGCATCTCCCACTTTTTGCACCGAGTACAAGGCTTCCGCAGACGAGGCGGCAAAGGAGGTGGATTTGGGCGTGGAGGGAGCCATTCCGCCCGTTCCTCCCGTTGCTCCTTCAGCGATTTCTTTGAGGGCATTGGCAAAAAGAAGAAGGGGGTTGCGGGGACGGCCATGCATGTCGACCCCGCACATCCTCGGAAGAGAGGCCGTCCAGAGCCAGACCCCATGGAGAAGCCCAAAAGAAAGAGGCGATCTCGCAAAAACGGGGCCCTGTTTCCTGAGCAGAACCCCAGCCAGAACTTCAGTGATGGGTCCTCAGAATGGTGTGGAGAAAAAGAAAGTCATTGGATGTCCCACCAAGGACACCTTTCTGGTCAAGCCAACAGGAATTGCAGCTACCAAGGCAGCGACTCTCGGACCTTCCACTCCTCAACCGTGGAATCAAGTTCTTCAAGCCGAACTGGTTTTTATGGGGGGAGCAATCCATCATCCCAGTCTGAACTCAGCCAGGAAAGGCAGAGCCTTTTCACGGGTTATTTCCGTTCGCTGTTGGATTCCGATGACTCCTCTGACCTGTTGGACTTTGCCCTCTCCAATTCTCGCTCTGCCTCACGGAAATCTTCAACCACCTATACAGCCCCTCCCAATGCTATCGCAACCCAGAGAGGCATGGCGTCTTACTCAAGCCGGGGTGGGAAAGCCACACCCTCTTCCACCACCACAACTGCCACGAGCGAGGTGCCCTTCCACACAGTCAGCCGGCAGTCGTTCCCTCCCAACAGAGCAACAGGCTACAACCTGTCCCAGGCTGCTTCGGAGTGCCGTGACCCAGATGCCTTCCAGAAGCTGGCATCTCTCTCGGCTGTCTCCAGGTCCCCCACTACTCACTCCACCACAGCCTCCAGCTATGCACAATACGGCAACTATGGCAGTACTGGAGGACAAAGTGTGACTCCTGCCAGCTTGTTTCAGCAAGGGAAGCCCTACCACGCCCCCCAAGACTGTCCCAACAACAAGGACTGCAGCTTCACCTACAGTGGTGGCAACAGCCTGCCCTCCTCCCCAAGCAGTGCCCACAGTGCCAGCTATACCCAGCAGACTTCAGGGCCCAGCATGCCCTTGAGTAAGCCCTCTTTCTTCAACAGCTCCGATCCCAGCCAGTTCTCCAGCTCCTCTCACACCCCCATGAGGTGTGACAGCCGAGCAAGCACTGTATCGCCAGGGGGTTACATGGTCCCTAAGACTTCAGTCCCCTTCCAGCTCTCACCGGAGAACTGTAGGCAGTTTCCTAGTGCCTCTCAATGGGCTTTCCGGCAAGGCTATGGCAGTCTGGACTGGAACTCTGAGTCCTTCAGTCAACTCTACAACCCGGGCTTTGACTGCCACATCAATGAACCCAACGTCATCCTAGACATCTCCAACTATACACCCCAGAAGGCCAAGCAGCAGACGGTCTCAGAGACCTTCTCCGAATCCTCCTCAGATAGTACCCAGTTCAACCAGCCATCAGGCTACAGGAGGGCCAACAGCGAGGCTTCGTCTAGTGAAGGGCAGTCCAGCCTTTCTAGCTTGGAGAAGTTGATGATGGACTGGAACGAGTCGTCTTCAGCCCCAGGTTATAACTGGAACCAGAGTGTTTTATTCCAAAGCAGCTCTAAGCCAGGACGGGGCAGGCGAAAGAAAGTGGACATATTTGACACTGCCCATCTCAGTTTTTCCACAGGCGGCTATCCCTCCAAGAGAGGGGCTGGTGCTCGACAGCCACGGGGTTCCCGGGGTGCCTGTGCCTCCAAAAAAGAAAGAGGCACAGGCAAAGCTAAATTCCCCACCAAATCCCAGCCGGTGAACCCGCTGTTTCAAGACAGCACAGATTTGGGACTGGACTACTACAGTGGGGACAGCAGCATGTCCCCGCTGCCTTCACAGTCCCGGAGCTTTGGGCTCAGTGAACGTGATCCTTGTGACTATACAGGGCCCTACTCCATGAATCCTTCCACGCCTTCGGATGGCACCTTTGGGCAAGGGTTCCAGAGTGACTCCCCCAGCCTGGGACAGACAGACTTGGAGAACAAGCATTTCCCCAGCCTGCCCCACCAGCTGGCCGCCCCACCCACTCAGCAGACGGTGTTCGAAGCCAGCTTGCAGAAAGCTTTCTCACCCAACTGCTCCCCCACCCTGGCCTTTAAAGAGGACCTGCGGCCCAGTGACATCCGGAAGCTTCCAGCCTGTGACTCGCTCAAACATGGCATAGCTGGGGTGGCCGGCTTGCCCCACTCAGCCCCCCACATGGCCTGCCGGGACCTCTCCATGTCTCAGCCACACTATGATTCTCCCAGCTGTAAAAACCCCAGCTATTGGTATTCGCCCACTGCCAGCACCCGCAGCCCTCCCTATGACAACAAAGCCGGGGTGGGCATGCTGGTAGACTTCATGGGGAGGAGCCCCGAGGCTTCTTGCCTCAACCCCCATTTGACCAGTCCCCCCAGCAGCAACCCTTCTAAGAGCGAGAAGGAGCCCATGGACATGGCGAGGGCTCATCACCGAGGAGCCTATATTTGCCCCTTGATGAATGACTTAAATATCTCCCCAGTCCCAAGAGACTCGATGCTGCCACTGCAGGACAACTATAGGTACCCGAGCTTTGTACCCCAAGGGCACCCAATCATGGCTGCACCCCAGAAGAGCGGGTTTTTGGGTCCAATGCTAGAGCAGCATCCCGAGGACACATTCACAGTCACCTCCTTGTAGTGTCATCTGAAGTGCCAACCAGACACGAGGTTTTGTTTCAGGGTAGGTGCTGGAGGAAGAGCTGGAAGGGGAGGGGGTGGTTTGAGGAGGTGTGGGGACAGAGTGGGCTTGGGCTTGAAGCTCGTCATGGTCATCATGCCAGTGGGGCTAGCAAAGATGCTCATGGCACAATGGGGAGGAAAAGAAATACACACTCTGCAGGGTGTTTTTAAAAAAGGGTCTTTTGGAATGGTGGACATCAACTGGCTAATGGCTCTTGGACAGGAGTTTGAACTTGGGGCAGTGTTTCTCAACCTTGGCCACTTTAAGATGTGTGGATTTCAACCCCAGAATTCCCCAACAATTCAGCCAACATTTACAATCATGCTGACTGGGGAATTCTGGGAACTGAGGTCCTCACTTCTTAAAATGGCCAAGCTTGAGGAACACTGCCTTGGGACGATGCTAATATAGGTTGTCCTTGAGTTGGGACCACAGCTGAGCCCAAAATTTCCGTTGCTAAGCAAGACAGTTAAGTGACTTTTGTCCCATTTTATTACCTTTCTTGCCACTGTCATTAAGTGAATCACTGCCGTTGTTAAGTTAGTAACATGGTTGTAAAGTGAATCTTGCTTCCCCATTGATTTTGCTTGTCAGAAGGCTGCAAGAGGGGATCACATGACCCCGGGGACACTGCAACCTTCATAAATACAGGCCAGTTGCCAAGTGTCCGAATTTTGATCACATGACGATGGGGATGCTGCAATGGTTGTAAATGTGAAAAATTGTCATCGGTCACTTTTTTCAGTGGCATTGTAATTCTGAACAATCAGTGAACAAATGATTGTAAGTGGAAGTTTACCTGTAGCAAGTTCTCATGCAGGCAGAGGTTTTACATAAGCCAATCCAGATCAACATGTAGGTCTAACAAGCATATTTAGAGCTCCAGAAGGTGATGATGAATACACTGCTCACACAAACAGCCACCAAGACCAGGGACTTGGCATGTATAAGTCAGTGAGCAGTCCACGGTGGGCAGTTGTTCCCTAGCAATGGCAAAGATCCTCCCGACCATCCCTCCCCATCTTCTCCCATTTCCTGTGCCCCAGCTTGGTTTTATCTTTGGTCTTAGCGTCAGATTAGTACATTACCAGACCAATCTCTGGAAACCTGTAGCTACCCACCCTTTATGGACCTTCATGCAGAGTCCAGAGGCGTTCCTGTAATTGAAGACTAGACTGGTGCTTTGTTTTGTGTCATGCCAGCTTTTATATTTTAAAATGAAAAGAATTTTCACAGCAATAAAGTTAGGTGGAGTAGGAATCCCAGGAGATTCCAGGGAGGTGTTTGAAGACACCGTGTCATCCCTGAGTTATGCTGACTCGTAATCTGCCTCTTATTCCAAGTCCTGAAAAAAAAAAGGAGTGTTATATTAACTAATAACCACTTTAGATGTGACCACAAAGAGTCCACCCAGTTTAGCAATATTGTTTCCAAAGATTGCTCGTGTAATGTCTGTGTTCACACAACGCATTGAATCACAAACCTTTCGCCCCACATTTTACCAACTCAGCCTGTGGCTAATTTATGCTTCAGTGTAATGTGCAGATGTAGAAAAGTGAATCCATTCCATAAATCGTGATCAAATTAATTGTAAGTAAACATGTCCTGCAAATGTCTATGGAGATAATCATCCAAGAAACTGTTTTCCCAAAGGAGTTTTTTTGAAAGGGCAACTGGACTTTCTTGGTTTTTTTCTTTAAAAACGTTTTCACTTCTCATCCAAGAAGCTTCTTCAGTTCTGCAAAGAGAAGCAAAACATGTTCAAAGGAAAAAAAACAAGAAAGTCCAATTGCCTTTTGCAAAAAGCACCTTTGGGACATGTCATGCAAATACAGTTTGTAAAAGATCTTCAGATAGCTACCTTCAACAGAAGTTCCCAGTACACCTTTCCAGAGAGCATCCTTCCAAAATTACACACAGGATATAATTACAGGTACTCCTCGACTTATCAGCAGAATTGGGAGTAGAATTTCCATTGCTGAGCAATACCGCCATAAAGCATGACATCATATGACCTCATTGCTTAGCAATGACAATCCTGGCAATTCTGTTTTTAAAGGAATTCCACAAGTCATTAGCTGTGGACTCAGTCTAATCCAAGCCATTGCAGGCTTGGTATCTCCCAGCCCTGAGCCTTGGTAAGGTGTCAGGCGCAAAGAATCAAGATACCATGCTACGTTCCAGTTAAAGTGAATTATTGCTCATACCCCAAATTTCCATTGCTCAGCAAGACAGTTGCGAGGTTTGCCCCATTTTACAAACTTTCTTGCTACAGTTGTTAAGCAAGTCACTGCTGTTGTTAAGTTAGTAACACAGTTGTTAAGTGAATCTGGTTTTCCCATTGACTTCACTTGTCAGAAGTTGAAAAAGGTGATCCCATAATCCTGGGACACTGCAACTGTCATAAATGTGAACCAGCTGCCAAGTTCCGGATTCTGATCATATGACCATGGGGATAGTGCAACAGTCAGGAGTATGAAAATAGTCATGTCACTTTTTTTAGTGCTGTTATAACTTGGAAGGCTCGCTAAACAAATGCACAAGAATGGTCATTGCTAAATTGACACTAGATAAGAGTTAATGGAATTCAAGAAGGGTAGGTCTTAGAATCAGACCATTTATAGGAACCTTAATGACTCCAGGCTGATTCCTCTCTTGACTCTGCTCCCAGGCTCTGTCTGTCCTTCTGCTACATAAGCTAAAGGACTACCTCCTCTTCAACTCTCCCTCCTTGCCTATGTCTCCCCATCTCTGCCCTTTTGGCTGCTCTGCACATTGCCTTATGGGATGGCAAACAACCCCAGAACCATGTGGCTATGAGGGTGCTTGCCACACTGCAGCTCAGGGGCTTCTGGGAGCACCATAGTGCTGGCCCTGTGCAGCCATCTTCCCCAAGTCTTGCAAGGAAACTGCCATCCACGACCTTGGGAAGAAAGCCTTGTGTGACCAGCAGCTGTCTTGCAAAGGGCCAGGCTGGCCGCCAAGTTCAGCTAGGATGGCAGGGGCTGCAAAGTGCAGGGGGTCAAAAGGCATAGATCGGGGAAAGATTGGCAGGAATCTGAAGGACCCCTGTGGTTGTAAATGCAGATGGGCTACCAAACGCCTGAATTTTGTTCATGTGTGACCCATGAGTTGCTGCAACCACTGTGTAACTTTGGGGGCCAGTTGTAAGTCCCTTCATTCAGCACCACCATCACTTTGAACGAAGGGTTGTAACTTGAGGACTATTTATGTTCTGGATAGAAACAGTGACTGGGTTCATAAATTGTGTTCAACCAGAACTTACATTCTTGTTTGGGGTTGAGTGTTTTGCATAAGGCCAGATTTATAAACCATCCTCCACCAGTGGTAGCTTTGTTTTGCTATAATTTAAACACATCCCTAAAAGAGCAGGGGGGGAATAGGAAGATAAATGTGGTAAATTTAAACCCTTTGCGTGATCCTCAGCCTCCATATGGCTAGCTAGCCCTCGTGGTCTCCTTTCTGCTTCAAAACTAAGTTCCAGCTACTAGTAGGAAGACCCACCAGGGAAAGGAGTTATAAATGTTCAGCTCCTGTTTTGGACGCCCTCCATCCAGCTCTTCCAATTCAGAGGTTCCATCTGTTAACTAAGCATTTGGGTTGAGATTAGCTGACTGTAAACAAGTTATTGGCTGTATTGTGTTTTTGTATTGTCGTTAATTTTATTAGCCACCTAAATGGTTATATGCAGAAAGGCAGGATACGCATTGAAAAATAAAAAAATAAAACAAGAAAATAATATTTAGTGGGGGACAGATTATCCCAGAGGCTCCTAAGAGCTAGTTCAGCAGCTCTGAAATAGCAGGATACGGCTCTTTGACATTCCAAACACGCAGAGTGAGAGACAAAAGATTTCACTTCCAAATCTCATGAGGTCTCTGTCACTCCCAAGCTCTGGAATAGCTTCCCTTGGGAATTGTGTTATCTTTCGCTCTTTCCATCTTCAGATCAAGGCTTTCTCCTTCAACCAGACCTTTTGAGTTTTGCGAACAATTCTGTTTTCTAGTTCATCCAGATTGGCCTGTGAGCTGCTGTCAGTGCCCAATGTGTAGAAAAGGGGGATATTAAACTGAAATGCATGCATCCCCATACAAGCAAGCGACATATAGATACACCCTGTTAGACAGAGGCTCTTCCTCACTTTGAAGGTCTCATCTTTGAAGGGACTAGAATCAGGAAGCGGAGAAAAATTAATCCAGCAATTTGTGTCAGTAGAGGTCACAGGAAAGGAATACAGCTAGGCAAACAAGACACTGAAGCATTCGTTACTGACTGATGTCTATGAAGATTTTCAGTCATCCAGGTCATGGTTGTCCCAAAAGTGCTTTTTCAAAAGGCAGCTTGACTTTGTTTTTTTCTTGAAGACAAACTGAAGAAGCTCCTTGGATGAGAAGCGAAACATCTTCAGGGAAAAAACAGTCCAGCTGCCTTTTGAAAAAGCACCTTTGGGATATTACAGACTGAGTTGATGATGAGTACAATTCATAGATAGGATGATGGTTCATCAACACTGCAGAATTAAAACAATCAGAATAGAGCTGGAAGGGATCTTGGGGGTCTTCTAGTCCAACCCCCCTGTTGAGCAAGAGACTTTATACCATTTCAGACAGGTGGCTGTCTAGTCTTTTCTTAAAAACCTCCAGTGTTGAAGCACCCACAACTTGTGAAGGCAAGTTGTTCCACTGGTTAATTGTCCTCAGTGTTAGGAAGTTTCCCCTTAATTCCATGTTGCTTCTCTCCCTGATTAGTTTCTATCCATTGTTTCTTGTCCTGCCTTCAGGTGCTTTGGAGAATAGCTTGACTCCCTCTTCTTTGTGGCAGCCCCTGAGATATTGGAAGGCTGCTATCATGTCCCCCCTAGTCCTTCTTTTCTCTAGACTGGCCATACCCAGTTCCTGCAACCGTTCTTCATATGTTCTTAAACGACATGGAAAGATCTGATCCAAGTGTCCCCTTTGTTTTTTTAATTTTCCTTTGTGTTGTTTTTAATTGGGAGAAGATATACAGAAGAAAAGATAATGTCTTAAGTAGCACAGTTTAGAGACAGCTATACAGGGAGTCCTCAACTTACAGCCACAAGTGGATGTTAATTGAGTGGCATCCAATTTTACATTCTTTTTTGCCCAGGTTGTTATGCAAATCACTGCAATTGTTAAGCAAATCATGCGGTCATTAAGCAAATCTGTATTCCTGCATTGACTTTGCTTGTCAGAAGTTGGTAGGTTGCAGATGGTGATCACATGACCTTGGGAAGTTGCATCCATTGTTTGGCAAATAAATTATTATTATTATTACAAAGCATACACACACGAAACAACAACTAACAATCAAGAAAAATAAAAAGAGAATAGAGACAGAAGTTTGAAAAGGTATAAAGAAAAAGAAAATGCAAATATATACAAAGAATGACCTGACTTCTTCTTCCAAGGATACAAAGAACGCTTACATTTGACACTTAGTTGTTTAAGACTATAATAAAATGTCCATTTTCCGCAAAAAAAGAAGAAGAAAAGGGGATTTCCTTCCCCCCCCCTTTACACTTTTAACAATCATCAAATGCATATGACAATTTTTTTTCTGCAACCATTGTAAATCCAGGCTGGTTGCCAAGACCCAAATTTTGATCACGTGACCATGGGCATGTTGCAACAGACATAAGTGTGAGAACTGATTGTAAGTCTTTTTTCACTGCCATTGTAACTTGAGCAGTCACTAAACAAATGTAAGACGAGGACTACCTGTGTCATCTCCTTAGATCAGGGGTCTTCAAACTTGGCCCTTTTATGACTTGTGGACTTCAACTCCCAGAATTCCTCAGCCAGCGTGCCTGGCTGAGGAATTCTGGGAGTTGAACTCCTCAAGTCATAAAAGGGCCAAGTTTGAAGACCCCTGTATCTTAGTTTAGGTCTAACCTTTAAAATACACAAAGGATAGTCTGAAACCAATCATTCTAGTGGACATTTCCTAAAGCAGTGATGGCGAACCTATGGCACGCGTGCCAGAGGGGGCACTCAGAGCCCTCTCTGTGGGCACACCTGCCGCCACTGCCAGCTCAAGCAGGTCCATTAGGCCACTGCTGGCACCCGGAGCGGCGGCCCCACCCAGCACAAAGGAGGCAAAGCAGCTGACTAGCAAGCTTGAGTAGAGGTGGTAGAGCATGCCCCCATGCGCTCGCTGGCCTCTGTGTGCGGGGGCTGATGGTGTCAGGCAGCAGCCGCCCTTGCCTCGCCTTGCCCCGCAGCAATGGCACCCCTGCCTCACCCCGCAGGACAAGCCTCCTGACCACTGCCCCACCCACCAGAGACCCCCTGGATCTCCCCCAATCCTGCCCAGCCCCCACAGGAGTCCCCCCCCACGAGCAACATCAAGGCGACCACACCCACTCCAGCCACGCCCACTCAGTCTGCCATGACCACTGCAGCCACGCCCACCCCCCTGAGGGCACCACAATGCTGATGCGGCCCTGGCACTTTGCGATAAATAAGTGGGTTTTGGGTTGCGGTTTGGGCACTCGGTCGCTAAAAGGTTCGCCATCACTGTCCTAAAGTAGTGTCTCAGTTCTTTTTCTCTCCATCAATACTGTCTATTATATTAATAATAATTTTAAAATATAATTCTACATGATTGTTCGGTGCATTGTGCTGGCTGCCTTCCACTTCAGTGGCTCCTTGCAGTGAAGTTGTGTGGTGTCTTCATGTCACCATTTTGCCCTGCCACAGAGATAAAGGTCTGGTCACTGCTAGGTGTTGCTGATCTACAGCTCCCAAGATCTTTCATCTCTGGCAGGGACGACAGAGTTGTTTTTCAGCAACATCTGGAAGGTTGCACATTTATCACTCCTGTATATGATGGCACTGCTGGAAGAGAAGGGAGAATAATTTTATTTTTTGAGGGCAAGCACCCACATGTTCCTCTCCCAAGGGTGTGTTAAAAAAAAAATCAAATTAGCAGCAACACAAGCTCTGCCCAGTTTTTTGTCTGATACCCCCTATACCTCTCTCATGTTCCTGTCTTGTGCACGCAGCTCTAAAGAGAAAATGACTACACAGTTAACAAAAAAAAAAAAGTTTAGTGCATTAGACTTACAGTCTGGAGAGCAAAGTTCAGGGATATTCCTGGCCAAAAAGCTGCTTGTGTGTCCTTGGGCCCTGAGGCTTATACATGCAGCTTTGAGCTTCTTGGAAGAATGGGTAAAGAGTAAGTTAGATACATAAATTGAAGGGTAAAAATTTAGCCATCCTTGATTAAAATTAAGCAGTGCCAATGAGTGTTCAAGGAAAGAAAATATCCATAGGCACAAATGGCCAACCAGCCATCTTCTACCTTAAAAAAAATAGGGACAGCCTAAATAAGCATGGAAATATTTAGTAGGTGCTTTTTACCCGGTCTCTAAATTATAGATTCCAGAGAAAGGATTTGTTGGACAAAAAGGCAATGAGTCTCTTGGGTTCCATGCACCAAAATGAATACTTGAGCCCTGTCAAGAGTGGGCTGTGTTTTGATCAATGTTTCTTTCTGTTTTTTTTCCCTCCTTTCTCTCTCTCTCTCTCTCTCTCAATCTCAATCTCTTTCAGAGCTACTTTAGCAGCACTTTTCTCTGGAACACTTTTCAAGTTCTGTATTTAATGGAAATCAAAAACAAAACAAAAACCCCACCACACACACACACACACACGTATGACAAAAAAGAATCTTTTTGTTCGCTTGTTTCTTGGTTGGTTCATTTGCTTTTTTTTTTCCTAAGAAAACAAAACAAAACAAAAAAAAGAAAAGAGAAAAAGAAAGAAAAGAAGGAGGGGAAAGGAGACAGAGGCAAACACCCCTACCCCTTTCTTTAAAAACAAAGAAGAAAGGAAAAAAAGAAAATATGATGTGGAAAATCAATAAACTTGCTTTCTTTGATAATGGCATGGGGGGGGCAGTTTTTGAAGCAGACTGTCGGGAGCTCCCTCAATCTACAGCCCAGCAAAAAGACAATCGAAAACCCTTGCAGACCCCCAAGTCAAGTGGCAGAGTGGAGGGTGCCCTGCCTCTCATCATCCACCCACCCACAGCATGCAGACGAGAAACACTCCAGAAGGCAACGGACAGGAACCAAGGACAGCCAGAGGGAAGGGGACATTCATTTTTGCTTCTTCTTTTTTTTTGATGGTGGGGCGGAAGGTGTTGGGGAGGGAAAACAGTGTGATCAGTGGATGCCAATGAAAACTCATCAAGGAAGACTGAAGATTTGCCATTCTCTTCCTTCTCCACCTCTTCCTCCTTTCCCTTATGTCTCCCTCCTTTTGTGCAGATTTCTTTAATTCTTTTTTTTTTTTTTTACTCCCCCGTGGTTGGTTGGTTGGTTGGTTTGTTTTTTTTTTTTTTTTTTTACAAAAAAAACCCAAAACTTTGTTGCTTAATTTCTTTGGGGAGCCCAGAAGATTTTACAAGTCTATGAATCAATCTTGGAGACCACCATCTTCTCCCAGTAAGTAATTTTGTGACTCCAACCCTCCTTGCTTTCCTTGGCATCTTTTCCCATTCCATGGTGGGCGGGAGGTTGATTTGTCTTTTCCGATTGGCCACTTCCATTCCTACCTGTTCTTCCTATCATCTCTGCTAAAGGGACTAGAAAACTGTTGGTAGATAAATTTCGTAGCCTCTGAGCAAAACTGCAGTGAAGCACTTTAAAAACCCCAATATTGCAAAAAAAAAAAAAAAAAAAAAGGAACTTGTTGATTGATACACCCGGTGCTCATGGCTTTATTATACTGAAATGTTCCTTTTTGCCTTGTGCTGCTGCGAAAACCAACACTCCTGCCTGCTTTCTAGACAGAAACTCATTCACTCGGTTATGCATTAATTGCACAAGGAACTAACGTACCACTTTTGTATCAGTCATCATGTATTTTGCCATGAAGTGACCAAACCACACTTTGTTTCCATTGATCACTGTGGGAGCAGCCATTCCATTCCTGGTGCTCTCCCAGCTCCCATGATGCTCTAGCCAGCTTGCACCCAGACCTTGGAGGGGAAATGGAGCAAGTTGCCTTGGTCCACTTATGTCAAACTGCACACCAGCTGGATTCACACATTGTGCTGAGTTGTTATTTAGTTTGTTCAGTGTAGGCTTGAGCTGTTGGGTAAACCCAGTGCCTGTCAATTTGTGAAATCAAATGGCTTATGGGTTAACTGGATCACAGTTTGAGGTTTATTCAAGAAAGTGCTGTTAAATCAAAATCTTGGCTTAGCATGCTACACAAGGTTTACCTTTTGAACATCAATGGCTCTCCTAAGTTTCAGAAATGGCTTTTCCAAATCTACCTGAAGGCATTAAACTTAGGATCTTTTGCAAGCAAACAAGATGCTCTACCACTGATATATCCTCCCACCCAAAAAATTGCCCCGATAGATTATTGTCAGCAAAAAGTAGTGGGGGTAAAGGGATGGAAGCACCTGTTTTCCCCCCCAAAATACATCTTGTTCATGTAATGATTCTGGCAGCTATTGTTCCTTTTTCAGCTGCCCTGTTTTATGACTTTCTCGTACTGTTGATAAAACTCGTGCACTGCCTTGAATGTTGAACAAGCAGTCCATGGACCTTCTAGACTTGGCTTAAAGGTATATATGTTCAATGATGCTAGGAGGATTAGGGACCTAATTTACACTATCTTCCGTCCCACTGGACATCAAATAAATAATCATAAAAATGATTGCAAACAATTGTTTAGTTGATTTTTTTTTAATTAAGATTTTATGATAGATTTGGGGTTTACTTGTAGATGTCTCCCACTTTGAGCATTATTATTATTTAAATAAATAACTGCTTGAGGAATCCCCCTTACAAGGTACTTCTGCCCAAAGTATCCTTGTTTTGCTCTGAGCTGTTTTCACATGTTTCCTTAAACATTGTGGTTTGCTTGGATTTGGCTGAGCAGTAAATATATATACACCCAGCTGGTTATGATCTGTTTTAGCCCAATAAGGGAACCAAGCCAAAATCATCTGCTTGAATCTTCATTAAGTTGGTTGTTTTTTTTTTACTGTAAACTTCCTGGAAATAACCTTAAGTATTGTGCAGCATACAAATCCTGTGAGTAAATAGTATGGAAAGAACTGAACGGAATGTATGCATCAGAACAGCGCAGTTAATCCCACAGAACAGGGAGGCTGTGTTGCAATTCCAGATGTAACATCAAGACCAGGATCAAAGTTTCAATAGAGTTAACTGATGCCTGTCTGGATGTGTCTCCGATTCACTGGGTCCTGAAGATATTTCTTCGCTGCAGGGGTAGTTGCTGATAGGGAAACTCTGTTTTTCTTTCTCCTCATTTTCCCTAGTTGAGATGGTTGAAGGACCATCAGTGGTCTATCTTACTCCTTCAGAACCTCCACTTGGTCTAAGCTCGTTCTCTAAAAGTCGGGAAACTGGTCTTCCAGATGCTATTGCTGTGGAGTGACGATCATCTTTGGCTGTTGGTCATGCTGGATGTGACTAATGGATGGTTAACTCCAGTGCTGCTGTTCTCCCATGCTTGCTCAAGCAGGAGAAACATCATGCAGATAAATTTATACCCCTCCCAGCAAATTTATAGCATCTTTTGTTCTTTTCCAACCTCTCTGAATTCCTGTTCCACTCAGCCCTGCAGACCTTGTCCTTGTTCCATTGTTTGTGTGTGTGAGTTTTCTGGCTGCACTATATTGAGGTATGCACCTGTGCCTTTAATCCTCTTGATTAGGTTGTTCCACCATGTGCACACACCTCCTCCCCCTCTCTACCCCCCCTTCCCACCATCAGAAGGCCTTTTCCTGGAGTGCAGATGCCTGTCTGGATTTTGCCCCCTTTCCTCCTGTGTTTTTCAGCTTTAATCAGGATGTACTCAAAGCCATCAGGGGCTGGGTAATTTGGCACTAATTGCATGCCAGGTTTGTTTCTCACCGGCTTGTTCCATTTCAGAGAAGGAGCTTCTCTTTTTTAACAATCAATCGATAATGGATTAGCATACTGAAACAGCCATATTAAAGTCACATTAAATGCTCATTTAAATCCATTCACGGGAAAGGGAGGGAGGGAGGGAGGGTGGCAGATCAGCTTGGGTACTTCTTTAATGCAGATGTACCGAGGTGGGGCCCTCCAGCTGTGTGGCACTAGCACTCTGAGTGAACCCCCCAGAATTGCAGGAAGGATGTAGTCTAGCATACCCAAAAGGGTGAGGCTAGCCAGTGATGCTCTAATGCTTAGCTTCTGGCCCCTGGAATTAATCCCCAATAGCTGTGCATTAAAAATAATATTCTGAAAGGAAAAGCAAAGAGGGAAGGATGACAAATGTTGGGGAAATCATTTGTTACTTAATGTCAGTGTTGTGTGGGCTCGAGAGGAATTATTTGGGGGGGGTACACCAGGCCCAGCGTTGGTTCGTTTTAGGCATCTTTTAGAAAACTCCTTTGTCCATAGGTCTCCCCTTGATACTTCTATATTTATTCTATTGTTACCCGTTCTCATGGTTTTAGCTCTGTTTTCATGCTGGGGAGATGTTACGATAAAGCATTTTGGGATTTTGTATCATGAAAAGCAGTATAGAAATGCAATGAATGAATGAGTGAATAACTCCTTATAACCATAACCTACTGAATTTACGAAGCTGCCTTGTTCTGAATCGGGAGACATATGGGTTCAGTATGCCCAAGATTGCCTATGTGAACCCTTCCCCAAAGGCAGAGATTACAATATCCAGCCAACATGCAAGGAGTGTGTGTGTGTGGGGGGGGTGTGCATTCAGCTAACAGCCCTACTTGTTCCTTTCTGGCAAAGTCTTCTCATCGTTGATTAACGATCCTCGATCCTCGGTGTACCTGGCACTCCCTCCTTTTGTTAGATGTCTGCTGTGCTACTCAATTCAACCCTTGCTATCGAATTTGGTAATCAGCTTTCAGGTGAACCCAGATCTCCCCCCCCCTCCCAAAAAAAAGGAAAGATGTTGGCACAAAGAAAGCCAACTTGCCCAGGCTGTCCTTGGAGAGCTCACTTTGTTCTCCCAGTGCAGATTTAGCAGAGCTTCCTAGCAGCAGAGTCTCTTTCAGGCCCTCTCTGGATGGAGATGGCAAGGACCAAGGTACAAAAGCACCAAGGACTATCTGAATGCAAAGCATGTTTCTGATGATGAGCTATTGCTTTTTCCCAGAATGCAGCTTCTGGAAAATTTCTTTCCCCCAGTTTTTTTTTTTTTTTTTAAAGAACCATGTTTGCACATCCCTCAAGGCTACAAAGATTGTCTGGAAGTATGTGGGCTGATCCTTGCCTACTGAAATCTCAAAGGCCAGAGGGGAGGCTGCTGAGTCAGATTCCTGGTGGTCACGGATTCGGTATCTTGCATAAGGCTGTGGTCCCTCATGGCAGTAAATAAGCAAATGTGTTCCTCATTTAATTTGCATCTTCGGTTAAGGCAACAGAATTAGCAAGTCACAGAGAGGATTCAGGCCAGTTCTCCCTGGCAGACTGGATATCTTTGCATAGGAGCTTTTGTCTTGGTCTTGGGCAAAGCTGTGAGCCATTTGCCTTCTCCAGGCACATTCCGAAGTGGTGCCTTCTGGACAGAACATTCATCTGACAGTTCATCTGAGTTCCAAAACCAATTAGCTGTAACCCCAGCCTGGTCTTTCAAAATGCTTTGGCCATGCTTCCATCAGCCTTATCTTT